ATTGCTCTTCCACCCCTGGTCCATGGTAGGTAATGCCACTGTTCATAGCTCTCTTTCCTGTTGGGCTCGATACAGCCTCAGGATCCTCCTCAACACAATACTCCAGAGAGCATTTATGAGCTGGGTAGGCTTAGAGTACCAGTTAAAACCTATTTGCCATTGTGTGCAACTCATGTCTGATCAATTCCAGCCCAGGCCAAATCCCCTAGGTTTACTGTCCTGTGCTTATCAGGCAGACCAGAGAATTTCAGCATTCTGAAATAAACAGGCTGGTGTAGCTGTTTTTCTCTCCCCCACACTCTGTGTTACCTCCTAGGCTGCTATGCTCTAGGCTCAATCCCATTTTAGGTGATTTGCCCCACCAGTCACTACAGGTCATGGCAGAGGAGGACCCCTCTCAGTAAAAGCAGATTTCTTGGAAAGTCTTCCATCCCAGTGCTCCACCAACAGCCTTGCAATGGCAAATAATCTCAGACCTTACCCCTATGATATTGTTGTTTTAGAGGAACTTACTCACAACACAGCTAGTCCACAGTATTCCGTCTGTTTGTAGGTCATTTGTTAATGTTGTGTACATAGATTCAAGCTCCCTAGAAGTATCATAATCTTAGTTGAATTTGGCTCAGTGGTGTGCGTGTGGCTTGTGGGAGATGTTTATGCTATGATGCCCACACCAAACAGAGTCTAAGATTTCTCCTGTTGAAGAGTTTATTCCATTCTATAACTATTTTTTTACTTATTTATTTGACACAAAGAGAGAGTACAAGCAGGGGGAGCGGCAGGCAGAGGGAGAGGGAGAAGCAGTCTCTCCGCTGAGCAGAGAGCCAGATGGGACACAGGGCTCGATCCCAGGACCCTGAGATCATGGCCCAAGCTGAAAGCAAATACTTAACTGATTGAGCCACCCAGGCGCCCCCATCCTATAACTATTGTTTCTATGACTTGGGGCCAGCTTCACTTTTTCCCATTTAATTGGGTCCTGCACATTAAAAACAAAACAAAACAAAACAAAACAGTTTTCTTCTTTGTTTTACAAGATGTTTATATGTTCTTCTAAAGCAACTGACTTTATTCTTTGTCCTAAAGGAGAAAGTAAGACAGATGCTAATAATATCACACAGACTAATTCAAAAGCCCAAGGAAGTAGGAGAAGAACCACTTATTTAAAAAAAAAAAAAACAACTTAATAGAGCCAGTTTGTCTTCATTTATGATCCTCCTGAGAGGTTTTTAACTTGAGACCTGCTGTGTGGACATCATACCTGCTCTGTGTGGATATGCCCTAACAACAGGTGTGGATATAACAAAATTTCACATGAAAAAAGAGTCCTGCTTCACCTGTCCCCCAAAATGCTGCTCTAACTTCCTGTATGGTTTAACATGTCTCCCACAAAACCTTCAAATGATTGGGTCTCTGGGGCAACCACAGACAGTGATGCAGCAGGTCTGAAAGTGAACCAGATAGTCAAATGCACATCACAGCTGGGAGCAAGGACCTCATGGACCTCCATGCCCCATGGCCTTAGCCCACTGAGAGTCTTTTATCTGTTCAGAATTCTGGGATTGTTTTGTTTTGTCTTGTCTTGTGTTGATTTTTCCTAACTCAGGAATAAACACTGCTATGGACTGAATGCTTGTGTCCCCCCAAATTCATATGTTGAAGCCCAAACTCTCAGGGAGACAGCATTGAAGGTAGGACCTTTGGAAGGTAATGAGGTCATGAGGGTGGAGCCCTCATGAATGGGATTCATGCTCCTATAAGTAGAGACATGAGAGAGATCACCTTTCTCTCTGCCATGTGAGGACACAGCAAGAAGACAACCGTCTGCAAGCTAGGAAGAGGGCCCTCACCAGACACGGAATCTGCCCGCACCTTTATCTTGGACCTCCCAGCCTCCAGAACTGTGAGAAATAAATATTTGCTGTTTTTAAGCCACTCAGTCTTTAGTAATTTGTTAATAGCAGCCTGAGCCGACTAAGAAAAAACCCCACAAGAATTAGTTAGAGGCAAAATCCATGCTAAGGGCCACTTGCCAAAGTGTCTCCCAAGGAGAGTAATTAATTCCATCTATCCTATCTGTACAAAAGGTGAAAGAAGGCATTATATGGGGAGAATTGCCCCAGCAGGATAGGAATATGTTAAAGTTGGGTTTTTCTCTTTAGTAAAGACAAAGACACCAGTGAGACTGTGTTTGTAGCTGAGGTGGCTTCATGGAGAAGGCAGGTTTGATGGCCCCTGGGGAAATGAACCCTCAAGAACCACCTATTTTCACCAAAAGCTTGTTCATCATTGGGATTCACCTCAACTGAGATGGTAGGGTCAGCTCAGGCTGGGTGGCTAGGCCTCCTCTCTGATCCCTGGCCCGCCTCGGGGAACACACACCATTCCCTGGGCCTGAAGTCCAGGTAGGACATGCTTTAGCCTTGAGGTCCCTGGTGCACATGGAGTTGCATTTTATGAAAACCCATGAAGGATTTTATTTTTTTTATTTTTTTAAGATTTTATTTATTTATTTGACAGAGAGAGAGAGTGAGAGAGAGCACAAGCAGGGGGAGTGGCAGGCAGAGGGAGAAGCAGGCTCCCCGCTGAGCAAGGAGCCTGATGCGGGACTTGATCCCTGGACCTTGGAATCATGACCTGAGCCAAAGGCAGATGATTAACCGACTGAGCCACCCAGGCGCCCCATCATGAAAGATTTTAAAATATTTATTTTTGGGATGCCTGGGTGGCTCAATCGGTTAAGCGTCTGCCTTCGGCTCAGGTCATGATCCCGGGGTGCTGGGATTGAGCCCTGCATCGGGCTCCCTGCTCAGCAGGGAGCCTGCTTCTCCCTCTGCCTGCCACTCCCCCTGCTTGTGCTCTCTCTCTCTCGCTCTCTGACAAATAAATAATAAAATCTTAATATAAAATAAAAAATTTATTTTTTCTTAACTACTTTTCCCAATTTAATCGATATGATCACTTTTCCTGTGGAGAAGAAAATATAGTGTTAACAAAGAAAGATACTATGTCATCCTTACTCTCACCTACCCACCCCCAACTATGTGATTGCTGAGAGGGTGACTCCAGGTCCTGGCATTGCACCACCCAGTATGGAGTCATGCCTGAAAAGGCCTCCCAGCTAAGGCTATGTGGGAGAAGAGTGATGACAAAGGCTAGAAAGGGGATCTGTGCTATTTAACAAGACGTTTGCAAAACAACGGACTAGTAAGTATGTTGGAAAACTGACAAAAGTATATCCCTCTCATGATTGTGAGGATTTTAGGTGGTTTTTCATAGTTAACATTTTATGAGGAAATAGGAATATTCAGAAAAACTGAACAAAATCTCAAAGTAGCATGAAGAATTAATTACAAAAGCATAGAAAGAAGGCCATAACAAATAACAGCATATACAATTTTCTCTCATGGCCTCAAAAGTCAATCTCTTGATACTTCTTCAACTTTTATTTTCATCATCATTCAATTTATTTCTCAGCAAATATTTAGGTTTCTTATTCATTGCCCTTATATAAAGTTAACAGTACATCTCTTATGTTCTGCTTGTCCATTCCCCCCCCCCCCCCAATGCTTCTTTAAATGGCAGGCCAGGGTGTAGGATGTTTGATGTTTTCTGAGTTACCATGAGTGCTGGGCTGTAAATAAATCATGAATGTACCACATCATTCATGAATTATTAATTTTTTTTCTTGTGCTTTCTATAGAAGACTATGCATCAAAATCGAATTCAAACTACTGAAATCTTAGGTGGTTTCAGATCATTAAAAGAGCTGGTTATTCAGCCTTGCAGAAAAAAAAAATTTTTTTATCTATGTTTATGTAAAAATTCTTACTGGCTGGAAGAAGTCTAGCCTTCCCTACACTTACCAACACTACAGAGGTGATGCATTAGATTGCAGAGAGCACAAGGGGCTTAAAGGTATAGAGGGCTCAGGTGGTGGGGTATATAGTTCAATTTTTTAATTGAAAATTGTCTTTTCCCATAACAGGCATCCTTTCAGTCTTTGGGCTTATAGCCCAATTCCACGGTTGTCTAATAGAATAATTTCTCCTCTTTTACAAACGGAGCACAGGCTGTCCCCAACTTACTAAATTCCAGATCTTCAATCAGGAGTTGTTTGGTTGGAACAGATTACACATTTCCCCAAAGAAACAAGATGAGCTGTCCCCAGGCGAGCTCACAACCTGTTCACCCATAAGGTACCAGAAATATGAACCTAATGATAATCTAGAATGTCATCAACGGGTAGAAGCATCCTTCTATGGAAAACTGTGTTCAGTATTTCAACCTGGAATAGGAAGAACAGACCTCAGTGTTTATGTCACATAGGCTTGAGGCTGTTCCGGGCTGGGAAGAATGGGGAACCACAAGGAGAGTTATGTATATACATGGGTGTGTATATGGGTGCACCCATGTGAATGGTTGATTCTTAATTCCAGGGGTCTTTGAACTCAAAATTATGTTTCACATGTATTTCATGCATATGTGTGCACACAAACATGTATTTTCTAGAAATAGAGTCTATTCCTTTCATTAGATTCTTGAAAGGATCTCAGATCTTCAGACTCAAAAAAATTAAGAACCGTCCCTCTAGCAGATATGAACAGGGAATGAGATGGGACTTCTTGCCAGGATCATTTTTCCATCCTATCAATCTCCTGAGACATTTAGAATAAATGCAAAGGTTCTCCTGCTCTCTGGGCTCCACTAATACCTGATTTTTAAATCAACATTCCTCTCCCTTCTGATGCACTAAGAAACAGGACCTCCTGTTCTGGAAGCAGTTTTTAATAGTTCCTGCTGCCTGTAAAAATATGAAAGTGTACGCAGAATTAATGTCTCCTTTCTTTCCACCTTTCCTGGTTTTCTTTCTCTCTGTCTCCCTCCTCTGTCTATCTGTTTGTCTGTCTGCCTCTCAGTCTCGTTCTCTCTTACTTGGTCAAAAGGAACTGGTCAAAGGGAGGCTTGAAACACAGAGTACTCAAGTTAGAACCATTTACCTTTCAGAGGAACGTGTTCTCAAGTCTTCTGTGACGCATGTGTCTTGCTGGGTTTGCTTTGGAGCATGTCTGTCTGTTCTGTCAATGAGAGTCAGTGTGGTCTCTGGAGGCCTGGAGGGTGAGGAAAAGGTGGAAGTGAAAGAGGAGTTACTCCAGATAGCCTGAATCAGTTACAGAAGCAGAGACTTCAAACTCTTCATCCATTTGTTTGCTCTGTTTAGTTAGTGAGCACCTACTCTATGCAGGGAATTATGCTAGGCTCTGAGGGATACAAGGATGGAAAGATCTGGTCTTCTCCTTTGAGCAACAATGTCATAGGAGGATGGACATATAAACACACAAATACAAATCAAATTCAATTGCTAGAAAGTAGGTATATATATTCAAGCAGCGGAAGCAAGGAAATAGAAATAATTCTGTTCAGTTGGGGTAAAAGTAGTGGTGGGAGATTCTATTTTGTGAGAAGGCAATTCATAGCCAGGAACACACCAGGGTTCTAGCTCCAGGGCAAGATGCTTGGCTCTTCAGCTCTCTGGTCTTGAGTTTCTGCATCTGAACATGATGGGATTAACCATCTCTAGGGGGGTGGTCAGAAAAAAGGGGATTCAGACAAACTGACTAAACTGACCTGGGGCCTACATCAAAGCCCTGCCTCTTCCTGTGCCTCAGTTTGCCCATCTTCTCAGGCCTTCCATTCTCTGTTAAATGGGAAGAGTAATGACTACTTTTCAGGATTGATGCAGAGTAAATAAGAATTAAATGTTAGTCCGTTTTCCTCCTTCTTCTTTTCACTCCTTCCTAGGATTCTGGTTATCATGAAGTTCTTGGGCCAGGTGATAATGAATCACCCCAACCTCTCCCACCATTTATTTGAAAATGTTTTCTTTTCTGATGTATTTGAGGTTATGAATTCTGTTTAAGAGAATAAATGAAGTTTTTCTGACTTTTTGCTTTGGCCTTTTATGGGAATTATGTTTGCTAAAATGTAAGGGCGCCTGGGTGGCTCAGTGGGTTTAAGTGTTTGCCTGCGGCTCAGGTCATGATTCCAGGGTCCTGGGATCAAGTCCCACATCAGGTTCCCTGCTCAGTGGGCAGTCTGCTTCTCCCTCTCCCTCTGCCCCTCCCCCCTGCTCATGATTTCTCGCTCCCTCTCTCTCTCTCAAATAAATAAATAAAATCCTAAAAAAAAAAAAAGAACATAAAATCAGGGAATATTTTTTTAAGCTTACAATTATTGAGCAACTACTATGTGTAGTAAGTTCCATACATGGACTTTAATTTCACAACAGCCTGACAAAGCAATTATTATTATCCTCTGCACTAGTCAGGGTTCTCCAGAAGAACAGAACCAGTAGGATGTATGTGTATATATATTTATCATAAGGAATTGTCTTGCATGGTTATGGAGGCTGACAAGTCCACAATCTGCAACGTGAATCAGCAAGCCGGAGACCCAGAGGAGCCAATGGTTTAGTTACAATCCAAAGGCTAGCAGGGTTGAGATCCAGGAAGAGCTAATGTTTCAGTTCTACTCTGAAGTCAAGAAAAAGCCAATATCTCAGTTCAAAGGCCATCAGGTAGGAAGAATTCTCTCTTACCAAAGGGTAGGGTAAACCCTTCTGTTCTGTGAAAGTCTTCAAGTGATGCAGCCCATTCACATTAGAGAAGGCAAGCTGCTTTACTCCGATTGGTCTCAGGAATTGTCTGCCAGCCTTACCTTCCCAAGGTCCAGTTACTGAAGAGTTAATGCCTGGCATAGTGGGGGACCTCAGGAGCCAATGTCTGATTGGCTGGTGCCTTGGCCACACTTGTGATTAAATATTCTAATTTCAACCCTGGCTCTCCAACTCGCCTACTACATTGGTTTGAAGATAAATTGCTTAACTTACTGGCCTCCGTTTCCTTCTCAGTGGAATGAGCGGTAAAAATACCACCTAGCTTGCTGACACGATGTGAGGATTAAATGAGAGTGTAAATTGAGTGTCTGGCATAGAGAAGGTTCTCAAGAATCAATAGCAATTACCATTATTAAATGAGATACTCCTTGCAAGGCACTTAGCAGTGTGCATAGAGTTAGTGCGCCATAAATATGAGCTACCATCACCTCATTACTATTTAGAAAATAGAAATTATTTCAAAAATAATAGAAAATGAAATTATCTAGAAAAAATTCTTCACTGATTGAGAGGTGAAAACAAATGACTTCTATCTACTAACTCAAAAATTCTGCAACTCTATGGCAATCTATGGCAGACATGTTTCTATGCCTCTGATATCAGAAACTGTTGTGCTATCCAAGATTCCCTCCAGGAGAAAATACTCTCTGAGGATTGTAACGTAGGCTTTTCCACTGCTAATGAGATCATTTCACATGCACTTGCACACTTAAGCAGGGTTGGCCATTAGAAAACTTATTGAAAATTGTCTGCTCTCCAAGAGGGCATGTTCAGGGATATCCTGATTGTGTCCAGATGGTTTTGGCTATCTGTATGGAATTATCTAGCTGATGAACTATGTCCTCAGCCTTGAATCCGGAAATGTTCAGCCAGCAAAAAGAGAATTCAAATCCTTCTTTGCATAACCTTATAATGTGCACACTCCAATTTGGATCCTTCTATAGAAAAGTGGAATGATCTTCCTTGGCCTCCAACTCACTCCATGTGATTGTTAACATCCCAACAGCCATGACTCCCATGGACTGCTGCCAGCAGCGTTCTTCAGTTGGCATCCATATCTCCCAGTGGAACAACGGTCTCTTATTTAGAGGCCGTTTTTTATATAATTGTCCAAAAATAAATAAATGACATATAATCCCATATCAAATTCTAATTACTATAAACTTTCACCTTGTTTTCCATAGCCCAAGCAAAAAGCCTAGGCAATTTCCCTCCTCCCTTGTGACAGTGTTCAGAATACATTCCCCAGACTATGGCACCTTGATGTACTGAATATTTTAAGTTGAAGGAATTTAAGAAATGGCCTGAGCACAAGAGATTTTCTGACCTTCCCCTGAGCAGGACACAAAACCCTCATGGCAAGAAGTGCCCTTCTTACAGCCAGAGGAAAGGAACGTCCTTATCTCTGAGACACCAAGAGGAATCTGAACCAACAGGCCTTGCTGGATCCCCATGTTTACCACACTCAGCTCACACCCTTTCTCATTCTGTCATAGTTTCCCCCGACTTTCCACTCTTCATCAAACCTAGTGTAAAAACACACTCAGGTTTGACTGCTTCTTTGGGTCTTCATTTCTTTATGAAGTTTCCCATGTCATGTAAAACTTACACTAAATCAACGTACATGACTTTCTCTTGTTAACCTGTCTTTTGTTACAGGGGCCCCAACCAAAAACTTAGAAGGACAGGGGAAAAGATATTTTTCCTCCCCTACACTTGCTTTCCTCACATCCCCAAGATATCCTACTACTTTATCTTCAGCCAATCATTGTCTCCCACACTGAACACACCTCCCCCCCTAAAACTTTTGAGATCCAATATGTTTCATAATTCAGAATTGTCTGGACTTTAGAAAGGTAACATGGTACATACACTGTATTTTAAATAACACATCTAACTGGGCCTGGGGAAGCATCCCATAATCAAACACATTTATATTTTAGTATCAAAACATATGAATATTCAACCAAATGGCATAAAGACCATAGGTAACCTCATAGGTCTGATTTTGCCACCACATGAGTTTTCCACAAACTGACAAGAAAACGTTTTGTTTCAGAGCTTTTTTGACTTTGAAATCACAGATATGGGGTCATAAAATAACTCTGCAGGGGAAACAAATCTTGCATTTTATATTTCCTTTCAAATGAATGGTGTCCTGTTAGTTACACTCTTGGCCTCTCTCCCTATGGCCCTGTGCTCAGCCATGGATATGGGGATTGGGGGGTGCTGGGCAGTAATTAATCTGATTGGTACACTTGGCAAAAATAAACTGGGCATTGTCCACCCAGCTCCACACATTTTGCTCTTGGGAAGGAGCTGGTGCTCTGCCTTCTTAGGCCTTGGACCTTTGCCTAATTTAGTCATGATCCTTATTTCAACCTTAGAATTTATTATTACCGTTGTTATTATTATTATTATTATTATTAACAATATTTTGGCCTCAATCTGCCACCCTTTGTTTTGTTTCTCAATTTGTTAGGAACTAGATGAGAAGAGGCCTGACCTCTCAGAGACTCCAGTGTTTGGTCCTTGGCTGGGAATGTTGAGAAATTTAAACAGTGGGATTTTGGTTGAGAACAATATACCTGCACGGACCATTTTGGCAATGCCATGACCTGTGACTTTGTGGCCTGGATTTGGATGTGTAGGCAGGGCCTTTGACTCTGAACGTTTCTAAAGGTTTGTATTAGGCCAGGCAAGTTTTCACAGTTGTGCATTAAACCAAGTTGTAGAACTTGAGAAGTATATCTCAAGTTTGGGGCAAAAAGTATTCTGGAATTTTATAGAAAAAACATCCCAGTCATGGAGCACCTCTTAGAACAATGGTCATGGTCAGGGGCACCTGGGTGGCTCAGTCATTTAAGTGTCTGCCTTCAGCTCAGGTCATGATCCCAGGGTCCTGGGATTGAACCCCATGGCAGGCTCCCTGCTCAGTGGGGGAGTCTGCTTCTCCTTCTCTCTCTGCCCCTCACCCTGCTTGTGCTCTCTCCCTCTCAAATAAATACATAAAATCTTAAAAAAAAAAAAAAATCTTGGCCAGAGTGCAACTGATTCAGAGAGAGACATAAGAAACAAACTGTAAAATTTCCCTAAAAATGGAAATTTAAGGACTCTGGTTGACTCAACAAAACTATGATCTCAATGAGTTGGAAGTGGGAAGAGCAGAAGATAGAAAATGGAGAAAAAAGAGACAAAGAATCACGGATTAGTAGGGGACCACACATGACACTATTTCAGGAGAGCAGGACACCAAAAAGAACCAGAAGTTGAAACCGGTGGCTTCAGTGGTTTTACTACAGCCCTGGACCTGGGACCTCTCCAGAGGGCCTGTGCCCACAAGAAGATCGAAGCTTACAGGGATTCTCAAGCTTGAGAGGTTGGTGCTTGTTGAAAATGTAAATTCTAGGATCCCAACACCATGGTCCTGATTTG